GACCCCTGAATTTAGACTCCTGAATCCTGAGACAATTGTAAATAGTCCGTAATTGAGCTAAAAATTGTGATTTTTAGAAACATTTGCTTAATTCTCAGAAACTCTTTCTTATATTTTGAATTTCTCTATTCCAAGAAAGTGTTGCCATATGTATTAGTTTATTTTGAACTTTTTAGTCTAGTTAATCCAAGCAAACAAGCCAGCAAGCAAGCAGTCAATCAGTTATAACAAAGTATGATTATAAAATATTAATTAGGCAATAATTTTTTCAAAGTTTCAAGGGTGTCATGAAGATCACTTTCTATTCATTTTGGGCCTCTCCGTGTTAATGTAATGTCCTTCAGGGTTTCCTATTAAATTCTAAAATTATTTATAAATACCTAATTATTAAATTAGAACTAATAGATGCACCCAATTAAAAAATTAAATTACACATATAAATATAAAATGAAATATAAATGTTTCTTTCCCCCGTTTTCTCTGTCTCCCCACCCTAAATCTTAGGCTCTTTCTTCAGACTAACCACTGGTAATAGTTTCTTATGTATACTTCTAGAAAAAAATACTGTGCCTATTCAAGCATGTATGTTTGTGTGAGTATAATTTTACGTTATTTTCTGTTTTTAATTTATCCATATTTTGTGCTTGTATTGTTTTGACCAAGGATATATTTATATAGGAAATCTTTTTGCCTTATTCACCATTTTATATCTAACTCCTATGATAATGTCTGGCTCATAGTATACACATAGCATATATAGATCTCTTTTATTTGTGGTATAAACGATACAGGTTTGCCATATGGTTGAACCACGTTTTATTTAGGCCAATTCTCTATTGATGAACATTATGTTAGTTCTAGTTTCCTGCTAGTCATGTCCCTCGACCTGTCCATTTACCTGCCTGTGTGTCAAATGTTTGCTGAGTCCAGGTACTCTTCTAAAGATACAGAGATGGAGGAGAAAATTAAGGGCCCTGTTTACATGTAAGTTGCTGAGGTATATCAAAAACAATGAGATAAAATCTAAACAAATCAGTTTCACAAAGGCAGTAGTGCAGATAATGTGATGAGAGAAGAGTTTCTACTTTAGATGGGATGGCCAAGCAAAACCTTTATGAAGAGATGAGTTTGAGCAAGGCCTACATAATGAGAGAAATGGCCTAGAGATCTAGGAGAGAGAATTCTAGGCATAAAGTATAATAGCAAGATAAAAGCTTTGAGGCAAGAATAAGCTTGGTGTGTTCAAATAACGGAAAGAGGACCAGGATGACTGCAGCATGAGTATTTGTTCTTACAAATAAAAACTGCTTCAATGGATATGTTTGTATATAAAAATATATCTTACACATTTTGTAAATAATTTTAGTAGTCGAACTGTGGGCGAAATAATTTAAATATATGCCTTTTTAATTTGTATAGCTGTGGTACAGGGCCACTGTTATCGCTTATCCTTTCTCCCTGAACTACTTCTTGCTTTTCATGGCTCTGAGGAACTTGAGTTATCTGGAGCTTGGCAAAGAGTAGGCACTCTGGGTGAAAGAAATTCTTTTGGGGAGACAATGTGTCAGGGACTATAAATGTTTGAGTCTTTTTTATAATAAGATGAAACTCCAATAGTAGGACATGTGTTTGTATTATGTTGTGTTGTATGATAAAATATTTGGCTCTCTGAACTACCGTGCTTTCCTTTTTATGAAACTATTTTAATGCAGCAATGATCAACATTTCTCAAGCCAGGAAATACAAAATTCAGAGTTTTTTCAAAATTACAGTTGGATAAAATGAAGTACTGTTAATGATCCCCAGTTTGATACTTAGATTCAGTTTACACAAATTTGTTATTAAGCTAAGGAAATATGAAAAATATGGCATAAACCAAAGTCAGCTGAAAACCTTTGCTAAAGTGTGTTTTTTTGTGGAGGAAGGTAGGAAGAGCATCTCCTATTTAAAATGTCTTTTAAAATCCTGAATACTGCTACATTGGGGAATGAAATCCCATTTTAAAATGCTTCTCTGTCAAAAAGGCATTATTTAATTTTAAAGGGTAAATGTCAGAATTACAATTTTTTAGGCAGATTAGAAATTTCAGACTGGTCAAAGAACAAATTTTGTTTCATGAAGTGTTTTAATGCTAAGTAAATAGGAGAGTCAAGTCACATTTGAGAGCATAGGGATGTTTGTTTAAATTTTTTCAACCTACTTTTTTTAATGAGTGCATGTAGGAAACTTTATCAGCTATATTAAGATTTCTGTGTACCTAGAGAGAGACAAGGGTATGCAGTTTGCTTAATTATTATTTATTTTTCTTTTTTATGATAAGTCTCACTTCCTTTTTTATATACAGAAAAATTTTAAGAATTAAAAATAGCTTAGAAGAATAAGATTAGGAATTTACTATGGAGAATATTTTAATTTAATAGCTGCTCTTATATTTTCTGTTGGTTATAGTAGATTTTTTTTTTCAAACAGGTAATTTTTTCCAGCATAACTTATAAACAAACTTTAGTTGAAAATTGATTTTATTTTTCTTCTTGAAGCTGGTGTAGATTAGTAATGATAAAGCAATTTTTATATGTTTTGTCTGTAATGTAATAAGATAGCATTTGGATTAAGAAAGTCAACTTATCTAATTGTCTACTGTAAAATCATCTCGCTAGTTTTAATGTGAATATAGACTATTTGAAAACAAATTCTTAATATCAAATCTTTAAGATAAGGACAGAAATTAGTATTCTATTAGTCTTAATCCTTTCTCCTAAAAAGGACAGAAGTATAAATATGTTGCATGTTTACAGAAATCTACTCCTGTTATATGTAGATGTGTTTTAATTGTTTGAATCATTAAAATGTCTAATTTTTGCTGAAGAATATGCAAATGTGCCACTAAATCTGTTTTTTAAGATTTTTCCAGTTTAATGTCTGAATCCAAATTCATAAAGAGTTGGAAAAATGAGATGTCTGAGCTATAGGATTCACAGGGATTTCATCTGAAGCCTATTTAATCAGGATAACACTGTTATTAATATTCATAATGTCAGCTGGAACACAAATGACAGACTATGGGCCTAAAAATTTTACTTGGTGAATTTATTAAAAGTAGCTTAAAAAATTAATGGAATTTAAGTAAAGTTGGTGAATATGAAAATCTTGTGTTAGCAGAAAAAAAATCTCTATTAGAACTTTCCTTAAAGACCATTTTGCATTGATGTCTTTTGACAGATTTCATTGGTACTTAAAGAAGAAAGATGCATGAATGGTCATTTAAGAGGATTTAAACACATTGGCACATTAATTTTTACATGAATAATAAGTACTTTCCAAAAGCAATTAACTTACAGTGTACAAGATATGAATCGAAAAATAAGACTGTGACATGAAGGGCAAAGCAAATGTGCTGTACATTTTAAACTTAGTGACAGTACTTTTTAATATTTTGATTTATTTTTATAGTTTGTGCTGGTTATGACTTAGAATGTGATTATTTTAATGCACTTAAAAGTAAATTTAAAAGACATTAATTTAATGCTTTCTCCTTCTCCAAAAATACTGGTGTAGTATTAAGCATTATCTTCTGCAAGGACCATTTGCATTTTTTGAAGAAGTAAACATTTATTGTGCTAATTAAGTATTTTATCAGAGAACATGTTCAAATCTACAGAAAGGCAATGGGATGATACTATTAGGCTACTAATACATATTTTTAACCCAGTCTTATTGGTTATAGCATAACTAAGTGTATAATAAATAAGCTTCTGAAAATTTAGTGTGAAAAATTAAGGACCACTTGAGTAATTAGTATACAAGTACATTTGTCCTGAATTTTAGCCTAAGAAGGTAAAATGTTGGGAATGGCCTAAAACAGGAAGCATTTTTGTGTACTACTTGTTACGCTTTACATTTTGAAATATGCTTGTAATGACAGTTACACTAGTACTCAGGTTTTTGTTTTGATTATTGAAGTTTATTTACAAAATAATTTTAGGCCATTATTTAAAGTCACAGCAATATTGAATATTTTGTTTTAGATTTTCTATGCATATTTTACTACATATAAAAGCATAGTTTAGTTATTATCTATAACAGTTAAGTTAGGCTTTGCCATTGAGAGAACAGAGGTGTTGACTGGCAGTCTCGCTGGGTACTAGAAGTTTCACTTGCAGTCTGTCACAAGCATTATTTGATTTCATTAAAAGTATAGAAATTGCCTATATAAAATAGATGTATTTTGGGACTCAGAGCTTTATTGGACAAATCATTAATAATCCAGATGTCCATAAATTATCATAATATAAGTATTAATTTAGATTTTTTGGTATAAGTCATAGAATCAAATTGATATATTGGTTATTTTGTCTAGAGGCTTTCTAAAAGTTAGGTTTTGTGTAATTTTTTTTTGTTTGGCTCTGAGCTATTCCCTTAAATGCCCAGGAGAGGGCACCATTTTACTACATCAGGCTTATAAAAGAATTTGCCCTGCTTAGACTGTCAATGTTTCTTGTAATTACTCCCAGTATATTTGTTGCTTGCTTATGAATTAACTTGCATTTATGGAACTAAATCATTCCAATCATTTAATTACACCTGAGGAGCTGAACTATAATTGCTTGCTTCCAACTAGGATCTGATATGGCTTGAGCAGTATTAATTTGGTGTTTACTTTTCTGAGTGCTAAAAGCATTAAAATGATTGTGCAATGGGATTACATTTTACTAATTGCTGGCATTCATTAGCTGGGTAAATGATGAGGAATAGTGACTGTATATTGCAGAGGGATAAAATTATGGTTTTAAATAGTATATTACTAAGCACATTAAGGCCTGTAAGACATGTTTTAAAATACTCCAGGGGTTATTAAAGACTGTATTTTCTACATGTCTTGGTATATGAATCTCTTATTAAAATACTGCAATTATTATTAACCTTTTTGGGCAATATGTAGGGAAATGGCTTCATTGACTGGAACATATTTCTTTGATATTAATAACTTCCTATATTTTCAGCTAATCCAAAAGTAAATGAGAAACTTAGAAAAAGATTGCCAACTCCATATCAACATATTTAGAGAAAATTGGAAAAGGAGAAGCTTACTACAGCTTTATTTGAGGACTTTTTAAAGAACGCAGGGTTCTATCTGTGAGGTAAATCTAATTTTATTCTTCTTAAAAGCATTAAAAAAACACTTGAATAATGTTTTATCATGTTTACTACGAAAACAAGAGAGAAGAATATCAGTAATTCCACAAGTTAGTGATGGTTTTCATGTTTTTTAAAATTAGAGTAGTATTCTTAAATTACTTTTATAAGTAAAATTTATAAAAAATAATCTATACAAATACACACACACACACACACACACACATAGTAAATTCAAATCAGTAAATTTGAAATTTTTGATATAAAATTTATGACAAATAAAGTAAAAAATGTATTTTTCTTAAATGCTTAAAATTATGGTTGGAGAAGATTTCAGCTAAATAAATAAAATGGTTCTCTACCCAAATCAGCATGAATCTCTAAAAAGCTTAACCTGAACTGTACATACTAAAATATAAGTGTTAAGAAAATAACCTTTTTCTGAGAAAAAGATTTAATTTCACCTGGTGAAATTCTCAGTTAATTGTCCCATTATAAATGTTTTAGAAAAGCATTTATCCTGTAAATTCTCTGTTAAACAAAGATAAGGTTTAGGTTTGTTTTGATATATTGTTTTTAGTTTATTTATCTAGAGTTGGCTTTATTTTAGCAGCAAATCTTGGAGCAAAAACCAGAGACATTGCCAGAGCAAACAAGAAAAGAAGTACAAATGGAGGACTGGTCAAAAGGTAAGGACTTTTAAGGTATTAATACCAAGCCCCAGGTGTTGGGGTAGTTCAAGACACTGAATGAAGTGTGTTTGTTCTAACCAATATATTAGAGGTAGACCAGTGCACGCACACACACACAGGAGACACACGCACGCAGGAGACACACACACACAGAGACCCAGGGATTATGAAAGAGATACAAAGAAAGACACACAGAGAAAGAGACATACAGAGAGAAAAAGGGACACACACATGCACACAGAAAAGGAGACACATAGAAAAGGCATTGAGAGAGGGAGAAGCAAACAGATCCATTGAGAAAGAGAAACATGCGTACATACAAAGAGACAGAGGAGACTGAGAGATTGGCTGTGATAGAGATGAACAGAGCCACATTCAGAGAAAGAAAGACACAGAGAAAGAGCTACTTAGAGAAAGAGACATAGGAAGGAAGATACTTGAAGAGGGAAACACATAGAGGCACAGACACACATAAAGTAAGGAGAGAGAGTAGAGAGAATGAGAGAGATACATATATACATGGAGACAGAGGAGAAATACACAGATCAGAAGATACATACACAGAAAAACAGACTAAGACACATATATGAGACAGAGAAGAAAATATTCATAGATACACACATGTGGAGGGACACAGCCTGAGAGGCAAAGAACAGTTAGAGACAGATACAATTTGAAAGACAGCCTGAAGACAGAGACAGAGTGAGAGATGGTCCATTGAAAAACAGATGGATGGATGGATGCATGGACAGACAGATAAGAGCAGCACACATAGGGGAGGGGACAAGAGAGATTTAAGTAAAATGTTGAAAATTTGGAATCCTTGAGAAATGATTCTTTCTGAATATGATTCTACATATATTTGAAAGCTTAAAACTTTATGTACATCATTTTAAAATTTCTCTTATAATTTAAAAAATCGGATTCTTACTAAAATACTGTATGCATCTCTTGGTTCCCCTTCTAACAGCGCTTTTGTCCAGCATATTCTAACCACATTTTTATCCTTTTTAGAAGGTTAAAGTCCATTTTTGAGGATCATTCTCTAATCATTGTACTCAATAAGTTAACAACTGTACATTCTTTTAAGGTATAGAAAGATCTGAGTACCTTTTTCTGATTTCTGCATTTTGTTTTTCATTTTTAAACTGTTACAAATTTTCTTGCTGTTTGTGCCCGCTATTAGTAATTTCCCTTTTTATTTGTGACTCTGGGATGCTTATTATGAGTTTAGAATCCAGATAACATTTAATTCTACATAAAGCAATAATACATAATAGCTGGGTAAGATAGTTAAAGGTTTTCTATGCAAAGTTAATAGTGCATACACTGTGTGACAATTTGGTGTGCTCTCTATTTTCAAGTTGTGATATGGTTGTATTGGTATGAAATTAGGTACTAATTTGTTATAGGTGTGTTTATTCATTTATTCAAGTAAGAAATCAGATATTCTTTTAAAGAGCTCAAAAAGCATTTTACTCAATTTATGTACAATATAAGAAAAAAGAAGCTAATAATGGTGCATCTGTTGTGTTTCTCATTCACACATCATATTGCTATAAAAGTCATGTTCAAATTAGAGACCAAATGATCTTTAAGGAGTCAAAGGGGTTATTTTTAATATATCTAAAGAGATAGACTGTGGAAGAAGTGCTACTTACAAATGTACAATTATCAGGAAACATGTCAAGGAAGGACCTGATGAAGCTCTAGGATACTTATGAAGAAAAGAGTTTTATGGTTGAAAATATAGATACATAGACAGTTTACAGTCGGCACAGACTACAGCAGACATGACTGAGTCAGCATTAAGAAAATCTGCCTTTGTACATGCATCTTTTTGACATTGGAAATAGAATAAGACATTCCTTTTTATAAGCACCTGTTATTAAACATTATTAAGAGATAGTTCAGGCTCAGTAGCTCATCCCTGTAATCCCAGCACTTTGGGAGGCTGAGGCAGGCAGGTCACTTGAGGTCAGGAGCTCGAGACCAGCCTGATCAACATGGCAAAATCCTGCCTCTACTAAAAATACAAATATTAACTGGTGTGGTGGCTCACACCTGTAATCCCAGCTACTCAGAAGACTGAGGCAGGAGAATCACTTGAATCCTGGTGGCGGAGGTTGTAGTGAGCTGAGATAACGCCATCGCACTCCAGCCTGGGCAACAGAGGGAGACTCTATCTCAAATAAATAAATAAATAAATAAATAAATAAATAAACAAACATTATTAGGAAATAAAATTAAACATAAATATTTTAACTTTTGAGTCTTGTGGTAACAGATATATTTAAACAGTAAAATCTCACATCATCATCCCCCTGATGGCGGGGTTCATGGAATTTATCTTAAATTACAAATTGCTTCAAAGTTCTATCTTATATGAATGTTCTAGTTTGTTCCTTTGAATCGTTATTTTATTTAGTTTAATTTTACTAATTTTAAAAGAAATTAAGTTAATTAAAACTTGTATTACACAGATATGCCTTTATGTCATCTTACAGATTTCATTATAAAGAGTGCTGAAGTGGCCATTCTTTTCCTAGCTTTATTGTAGAAACACTGCTGAAATATTTTAAGTCAAAGAGTTGATAAGATTGATAATGTAACAGATATAACCATTTATGTTTTTGTTTGTTTTTGTCATTATAGACATTTTGGAAAGTGGAAAGCTGAGGTTGATAGATAGGGTGGGTGACGACATCTACAAAAGGTACTCAAGTTTTTTTTTTTTTTTTTTTTTTTTTTTTTAAAGACAAGAGTCTCACTCTGTCATCCTTTCTGGAATGCAGTGGTATGAACATGGCTCACTGTAACCTCAAATTCCTGTGCTCAAGCAATCCTCCTTCCTCAGCCTCCTGAGTAGCTTAGACTACAGGCATGAGTCACTGCACCTAGCTAATTTTTTTTAAACATTGTTTTGTAGAGGTAGGGGGTCTCACTGTGTTGTCCAGGCTGGTCCCAAACTCTTGGCCTCCAGCACTTCTCCTGCTTCAGGCTCGGAAAGCACTGGAATGACAGGCAAAAACAACTGCACCTAGCCCACAAGTTTCTTTAAGTAGTTAAAAAACAACCCTGAATTGATGTAGTTTGTAAGTTGATAGAAACAATGTGTGTGTGAATAAACATATGTTGCCAGCAATAAATGTGTTACCATCTTCAGGCCTCTTAAGAAGGAAGTGATGTTTGTCTTTTTTTGAAAACTTCTATTTAAGAGTTCTCTTTTGAAAAAAAAAAAAAAAATGAAAAAAATGAAGGGTCATAATCAAAGGAGTTTATACTTAGTAAAGTTAACCCTCTGAAAGAATGAGTTATGTTAATTGTTGTTTAGCCCTTTTTTGTACTTACTTCTTATATACTTAACTGTATAAGAAAAAAGACATCAAGATCATAAAATAAATCTCATATGAAGAATTATTTGGAATACTGTTATAAAGTCACGACCATTTCTTAAGTTAATGTTGGTGATTTTTATTAGCAGAAACATGGTCTAGTTGTTTTATACCACGTAACAATCCTTTGCAAATAATTTGCATATTATTTGCAGGTAAATATGTCTGCACTAAGTATATATACTTGCAATTATATAGGTAAAAATGAGGTCTGGATACCAGTTAAATTTAGAAAATTGTTGAAAATTAAATTTAGAACCTTTAGGGGTCAGTGTTCCCTAAGAAAGGTTAAAAAAGGTTACTGTGCCTACCAAAATTAAATATTAAATCTGCTATATTTAAAATTTTTTTTTTACCAGTTAAAGGTAAGAAAAGATGAGAATTATGTCTTGAAGAAGCTTTCAACCAAAACATTTCAGTTTAATGATTTTGTTCAATATTGTTTTTAGGTTTATTATTTTGGGGGATCATCATATGTACTATACATTTTATACACAAAGTAGTTATTTTTATTTCTGTATTATCTAAATTTAGATACATATTACATATTTTTAACTAATTTGTCTTTAAGCTTAAAAAATGAGCATGATTCTAAATCAGGAATCATTGTACTTATTTGAAATGAGTTGAAAAAATGCTTCTAGAACTCCTATGTGAATAGAATTTCTATATGTTTCAGTTTATTCGAGGCTAGTAAATATTTTTTAAAAATTTATCTTACTGAATTTAAGTAAAAAGCAGTTGTCCTCTTCTTTATTTTAGAATTGGACTAGCAAGTATTGTTTGTATCCATGATTCTTATGGTTTTTCTACAAAACACTAACACAAAAAAATTTTAAAATAAATGGAACTTAACAAAAGGTAACTTGCAAGTGGTTTGGTAGCTCTTATTGAGTGAGAATAATGTGTATTTGTGCATGGCATTTTGCACCTGTGTGCCACTATCAACTTCTTTTATTATTGATTCATTTATCTTTCTCTCTGTTCACAAAGTACATATTCTTTTTTACCTTTGTCCGTCTGCTATTTTGTAATTGAATTATAACTAAAACTATTGCATGATTTGCAAACAATGTGTAGGTGTAGACACTGAAGAACCACTGTAGGAAAACATCACTGATACTTCTAAATGTTGGTGATCATCTGACTAAAATGTGATTGTAGAATCTCATATCATTTTAATAAACTATTTTATGTTTAAGGCAGAGAAGAAGGAAATGGCAAATTGCTTAGAGTGGACATTCATTTCTACCAGCAAGATAAGCTGGTAGAAAAAAAATATTTCCTAGACATTATGATTATATACTTCTTGAAATTAAAGGTTTAAAAATGTCTGGATCACTAATAATTTTGTATTAAATTACAGGACTTAAATTTTATTTAATAATTGGCTTTCTAGTAAGTAATGGTATATTTTTTGTAAGTAATAGTGTATAATTAGTGGTTTTAGCTTATTGCCTGTATTTTAAAGCAGAAGGGAAATTGCATTGGAAAACAAATACATTTAATAATGTCAGTAAAATGTTATGGTGGATAGAACACAGGCTTTGGAGCTAAACTTAAGTTTTAAGTTTTAAATCTTTAACTTACTATCTACTTGGA